TATTTCAACTGCATCACTAGTGCTAAAGCCAGTGGAGATTGACAGAGAGCGCTTTACATAATAAATAAAGTCAGCTTGTGCAGAAAAAAATAAATATTTCCAACTCATAATATTGTAGAAGGCAGTCGGTGAAGACCTCACCATATTCCTATAAACTGCTTAGGTATAATATTCATGTAAATCTGTATTGGCATCCTATAATTAATCGAGTGATTAGTCAAGCTCACATTAGCATTCTCAATGCAGTATTCAAAATGTGCTTATGATGTCTACCATTTTATCTGTTAATATTGATTGAATTGATCCTTATAGCCCAAATACACGATTTTGCCCTAAATTTTGTAACAATAAAAAAAACGCTGCAAATTATTTCCCAGTGGTTTATTATTTCCAAACAATTATACATCTAAAGTAACATTACCTTCCGAGTTACAAAGAAAAATAAATAAAAGATGATTCCAATTATTGGAATAAACATTTTTTTTATCCTAAGTAATATGCTAAAAAAAATAGCATTACTTCAGTAACACATTCAAAATTTAAAAAACAAACAAAGGATATAACATTTGGAGTAGAACGTATAAAAAAAAACCGGAGACCATCTCCTAATTGTCCGAATTTAACGATTTTTTTCTTTTTTTTAGGAAATTTTGTAAAATTTTAAAAAACCATACAATGTCAACAAAAAAGTGTAAACTTTTGAGTTATTCGGAATTTAATTTTACCATCCCTCGTAACTATTTTCAGCTTCTTTTCGTTGAAGTATGCTATATAGATAAATTTAAAGGGCCGAGAGAAAATGACTTTAGCGAAGTTTCATTGAAATCGGTACATTCGTTTAGACGCTACAGTCTATAGCAACGCAGGTTTTTCGGTCGCCATTTTGAAAGTAAAAGGCGGATAGTAATGTCGATGAAGAAGGATCATCCTTGGGTGACCTCTGATTTTATATCCAAATTAGAAAAAAATCGGTCCAGTAGTTTCGGAGAAAATGCGCGGACGGCGGACGGACAAAAAAATTTTTATTCGTTTTTCGAATTCTACGCATCCTGAAACGTGAAACCTCAAATTTTGAGAGGGGGTTAAGTTTTTGAATTTTTTGGTCGATCACAATGGTTGATTATTGAAAATAATAAACCAATATAAAAAAAAAATGATATCTAAATAGATCATTTTTAGTTGGAATTTTACTCCTGCATGCCACCATTTAGATATCTAAATTGCAATAAGTAAATTGGTGATACGATACCTTTGGAAAGGAAATCTCATATGAACTATAAAATCAATCTGGTATATCACAATAAGAGAGTCTATTATATCTAACCTTCCTCGTTCCTATAAATATTAAACGTTTTAAATAGATCAATTCCCTTCTGTACCGATAGAAATAAAAGTATAAAATGTCAGCATATTTTACTGCAATATTTCTGATACGATAGAAATGACTACCTTGACGAATAGGAACTCTCTATCTTTTTTTATTCTGCTCTTCCCTACCTCACACAGGCAGATCTACGGGGAGGGAGCCTTTCGGGCTGGAGTCCCCCCAAAATGATAAAATATAAACATGTTTTATGACATAAACATGAGCATATTGCAACCGGTACTGAACCGAGAACCGTCACCATATCAAGTTCGCATGCTAGCCACTACACTATGAGTGTAATTAGGAACTCTCTACTCGCCATAGAAAAGTAGTTAGCCAGAAATATAAAAATATCAAATCAATGCCTTTATCATTAGCTTTAAAAAGAACTATCAAACATCCATCTAGAACTATCAGTTGTAAATTTACAAGCTTTTTCCTTATCAAAATCATGATCAAATCCGTCTGCATCCGCAATATTTAAAACCATCTAAATCGAAGACATAAATTTCAAAATTTTCCATAGAGTGACTCTCTGATTTTGGTGTGAAGTAATTAATTTATTATACTTGTTTATAACTTCATATTATCCATTGTTCTATAATTTTCTCTATAATTAAAAAAAAAGTCAGGGGTGCCTAAATGTGAGTTTCGTGGCGCATATTGCGTAAACAAACAAACGTATCATTTGGATTCGTTTACTTTAATGCCCCATTTATTACATCAGTGTTCAGACAGGGAGAGCTGCTTTTGTTGATTTAAGGAGGTTATTTCAGGATCTGAGTTAGATGATAGGATGGCGGTGTCATCAGCAAATGTTGCCAGGAAGGTATCGGGATATAGACAAGGATACCCGCGGTAAAGAGGGTGTAAAGGACGGGACCTAAAAAGCTACCTTGAGGAACCTTTTAAGTTAATTATAAAAACAAAACCGACTACGGAGAAGTCTGGTATAATTAGTCCTAAGGTGACATTTTGGTGGCAGTTATATTCTGATGGCATTTTTAGGTTTATATGTATCATTTTCGCAATGGACAGCTTTCAAGAGTCAGGAAAATACTGCGTTATATATATATGTAAGGAATAGAATGGCTTTCCAAGGAAGCAATTTTAGTATATGGAAAGTAAAAAGGTCTTGTCCAGGAGCTTTGCGGGAAGATAATCTTGTAATGAAATTGGATATTTCTAAAGGATGAAATGTTCAACCGATTAGCTGATGACACTAATATTCCATTACTCATTCCACTGTGCATCACCCCCAATCAAAATGAAAAGTCTGCGCCTATGATAATTATCTGATAAAATACTGATTATAATCATATCAGTATTTTTATAATTTAATCGTTTTTCTGATCGTTAATTTTTTCTAATATACTAAAATCCTTATAATTAGTGTTTTTATTAATTATATTTTGTTTTCATTTTTCTAGATGAACCTTAAAAAAAATTCAAATTTATTTAAAAAAACCTTAACTACTATAGCCAAATAAGGGTCTTGGGTGCAGTACTTTCCACGGTAGTACTCTTTTAGGGCAACGGTTGTGAGTGGAATCTATCGCTCAACCACCTGGTGGTTTTCCATTTTAATTAATTAATTAAGAGTATCCACTTTATTGAAGCTATGTGTGCCTCAGGAGAGTTTCCCAACCCCAGGGCTACACAGCTAGTTTAGCAGAATAAATAATTACCTGTAACAGTGGGACTCGAAACCGAGAATTGGAGAACAGTGCCTTACTCACGGAGTTGCCTTACCCCTTTAAAAGTTCTAAAATAAAATTGAATATTTATTCTCTTGATTCTCGAAGTATTTTTAGTCTTAATCAACTATCTTAGAGTGATAAATAAAATCGTATTTACAATTACTTTTTTTGCGACTTAGAAATTTTTAGAACATTTTATTTGAAAAAATAAATAACTAGAAAGATAGAAAAGCATATGCATTTTTCTACCCCTATATGAACTAATATTGTTTAATTTTATAAAATCATGAACTCGCCTTATCACCTTACATTTATCTATTTATTTACGTTTACGTACTTTAATTTAGTATATTTATAATGTTTACTTAAGTTCTTAAATCTTTGTTGTTGTGATTTGGGTAATCGATGTTAAAAAAAATTATATAATTTCAGGTTTCTGGAGAAATATAAAAAAAAATTTGGAAAAATCTCAATTATTGGAAAAAAAATAATTTCATAAAAATTATAAATAAACTACTTCTTCACATGGGAAATCCAAATAAGAGTTCGATTTGTGAAAAAACAATTATACTCCTCCTCCGCAAAAAAATCACCTTATTTATATTTCTTTATTTTTAATAAGATCAATACTTTTATATTTTGATGACCTTTTTTTCATTTCCTCGAAACCTATTAGAAATATTTTCGTAATTAACTTATTTTTCTATTTTGGTAAAAAATGAGAGAAAAATAAAATGTATTTTGTACATGCAAACTTATGGATTTTATTTATTTTTTTTTTTTTTGTTGTTTGATCTGTGGGGTTGGGACGAAATATTAACAATTTCCCAATATATCAAGGTATAAATTCATCTGAAAAAATTTCTTTAGAAGTTAAGAGCCAGAAGAGAGCGGTGTGGCCGAGTTCGATTCCCGTTGCCGGGGAAGTTAACTCTGGCATTAATTCCTCATCCTCTTCCCTAACCCGGGAAAAAAACCCACATAGATAAAAAGACGAGATAGGGGAGAAAAGAAAAAATAAAGTTAAGAGGCACATGTGTGATCCTAGAAGTCTAGGTGGCTAAGCGTGTTATAGCGTAAATTAAACCATTCTCGAGTATTTTTATTTTTATTTAATTGAATAGTAAATAGTACAATCTGCCACAATGAAAGGCAATAAGTGCTAAGGCTAACTCTGTTCATTCATACCATATATACATATAATAGGAAAATAAATAAGAATAATAAAAGAATAATTAAAAAGAAAAAATAAATTTAAAAAAATAAGAAGAAAAATAAATAAGAAAAAATAATAGAAAAATATATAAAAAATATAATAACATACATAAGTGCTATAATAAATAAATCAATAAGTAAAGATAAAAAATATCTTCTTAACACATTCATTTCTATGTAAAATATTTTCTCGAGTCCAGCGGCGCTGATTCGAATTCGGTCTCGGCGGTTTGAAATTTATTTTATGTCAGATGAATGAATCTTAATCTTCCCAATCTGGTAAGAATAGGTTTGGTTGTACCCTTAGAAAAACCTATCGGTATGGCAGAAATAGCGAAGTAGAGAGAAAAAAAACAACGGTTATTCTGCTTCGCTTAAACAATTATTACAAACTAAACTTCTTGATAAGAATACAATAAGCATGCTTATATGGAAAATAAAAAATATAAACTTATAAAAAATATATGGGAACTCCTTGGACCTAGAGGCCATGCGTGTTGGCTCTTCGTTCCCACATTCTTAGGCCCGTGTGAGGAAGGCAGAGTCTCCTGCAAAATTAAGAAGGCTACACAACGCCGAATTGTGGAACGCGTTAATAGAATATAAGTAAAATCATAGCAGATGTATCATGAACGTTGCAGAGTCCTGTTATGATAATTGTGATTCCTATCCCCACCAGCCGCTGACTATACAGCGGATGTAAAACGGACAGTAGTATTGCAGAGATGAGAGTCCAACGCAACTTGATATTCATTACCTGTATAACTGTGGCCTCTCTCAAGGTAATTTACATATTTTTTACATAATGGAAGTTTATACATACTTTTATTTGTTATTTAACTTCTACCTTGGTTGCCAAGGTCGTATTTTCTAAGAATCATGCGGAATAGTACCGAACCAGCTCATAATATAATCCAACACCTCACTATCATATCGATTATTTTTTAAATTATTTGATCTATCATAATATTCGTCTTATATATTTTTTTCATTATTGCCTAGAATAAACCTTTCACTATATATTTTCGAAGAGCATCAATGACATTTTTATTTATTATTATTCTAAATTAAATGAATGGTAAACATTGTAATGGAGTATTTTTTTTAATTTATAAGTTCTTTACAAATTTTACATTTATTTCATTGCAAGTAAATAAAAAATAATAATAATGATAAACCAGGAAAATAACAGTTATTTAATGTGATTGGTAAACTTGTCAATCTGGGATATACTTAACTTAATTTTTCAGTATAAAATATATTTATATAAATGCCTGAGGTGGAATTCAACACATACAATAAAAATAAGAGACATTTTAGTAAAATGTAAATAATTACATAAAAAAAATTTTATATCAGGTCTTTTTATATTTCTCTATCGACTTTTAAAGTGATAGGTTCGTTTTCAGCTGTGTTATGATCAAGTCGTTATCGTTAAAATCGTAACCATAAAACATAGAACTAGATAGATTTAGCTATAAAACGGAGACAAATCGATTTACCTAACTACAGCTATCAGATATAATAATAAATGAGATTTAGTAGTGAGTCATTATTTGTTATTGCTTCAGTTGCGTTCCTGGCGCATAGTGGTCCCAAATGGCGAAAAGGGGGAAATAACGAGGTATAGGACAAACGGCCCAATATTTTTTTAGGCCACCTTTTTTCTCGATTTTGTGCTAAAATTATCTTATGATCCAAGTAGAAAGCAAACAGGTAGTGTTGCCCAAATGCGAGACCGAGATGAGTCTTGGTCTTGCAAACTCGGTCTTACGCAAGAGTCTCGAAGTTACTTATTAGCTTATTACAATAGAGAGATTACTGTAATATTTTAGATAGGAGAAACCTAAGTAAGCCCGAATGAAAAATTGAAGGAGTTCAATGCAAAAGTATATAGTAACTATGATTGTCAAGTATTAGTAACTATTTTGCCTTAATTTTTATTTTAAAAAGTTCGATTTTTTTTACCAGTCCTGGTCTTGATCCTGCAACAGTTAGGTGGCCTTGGTCTTGGTCTTGCAAAGTGCAAGGACTAAGACCGATTTTGGGCAACACTACGGGTAAACAATTAATTTGCTCATCATTTTCTTCGTAAATGATCGGTAATCTTGGAATCTGGAACGAAATTCTTGCACATTTGCTCCAATGTAAATCTTCTGAGATTTCTTTTCTTTGAAAATTAATGATAAACCTTTAGTGAAACAAATGACTGCCGTTATGGTCTCCAGATTTTTTTGAAATTAGTATTTTTGAATACCTCAGACGGTAGGAAAATAATGATATAAAAAAAAATTGAAAGAATTAGACATAGAGGGCGTTTCGTAATTTCACGGCACTATTTTAGGTATGTGTTCACTAACATAAAATAAACACAAAAGTTCATATTAACATATATCCCAAACTCATTTATTAAACAGACCTCAAAGGTTAAAGATTTATTATTTATTTATTATTATTACAACATTTAGAGTAACTGTTCAAAGGAACCTCAGTTTAGTTCAATGCAACATTCAGCACGAGGAATCCATGCTTCTCTGGCTCTTCATATAGCATCAGGATGGTGCTTGATAGTTACTGCGGCTTCCACGATCCGGTTCACTCACACTAAAACACACAGAACTAGATAATTTTTTTTTTATTTATTTATTTTAAATGATATTTACAACTGTATACAAAAAATACATCTGGTAAATTCGCACATTGGTATAAAGACATGGAACACATGTTGAGAAACTACCCATTGGTAGCACTCTAATAATATGTCTATATTAGAAGATCACGTGGCCATCTTCTTTTCAGACGCCTCGGAGGGTTATCAGGAATCGAATAGGAAGCAAGGTTAGAGACAAGAGGGTTGGGATGGTTATGAAGTTTATTATGGAAGGACAGATATCTGGGTTGGGCCAAATCTGATACATAAGGAACATTAAGGTCATTATGGATAATTTTATTTGTAACAAAGTAAGGAGCATTGAGGTACGAGGATGTGATGCGATGAGAGGAATTTGAAGGCTTGGTGGAGCCCCATAGCTCAACCCCGTAAGTCCAAATAGGCCTTATTATAGTCATGTAAATCAGTCTTTTATAATTGATTGGAAGGTTAGAGCGTTTGTCTAGTAACTGTTGAAGTAGTCGGAAACGTCGAGCGGTTTCTTGTCGTTTCAGTCTGGTATGAGGATTCCAAGTTAGACGTTTGTCCAGATGGAGTCCTAGGTAACGGATTTGTTCAACAGGAATAAGTGAGGTGTTGTTAAAGGATACTGAAGGACAGGAAGTCATTGGTTTACGACGAACTAGATAATAAATCTTTAACTTTTGATATCTGTTTAATAAATGAGTTTGGGATATATATATTAATATGAAATCTTTTGTTTATTTTGTGTTAGTGAACACATACCTAAAATAGTGCCGTTCAATTACGAAACACCCTGTATTGTATAGTTGTTTTTGCGAAGTCCTAATGATGATATAAATGAAAATATTCCTTCTTCTTTGTTTGATCTAGTTGATCACTAAGGATGCTTATGGTTAATTTGTTTTAATCGATATTGTGATCTCATCGAATAAGCGAAAGTAAATAACAAGTATTTGCTGGACTTATGAGCAGAGCTTTACAGTATCAGCGAATTGAACATTTGAAGGATATTTTATCTGTTTTTGATAGCAGTTAACTAGCGGTTTTCGGCAAAATAATTTTGGATTTAGTTAGGACTAAATGCAACTATTAAATATAACCTAATGTGTCCTACTAAATACAATAATCTATTCTAATATGTCCTAACGAATACAACTGACTGACTACTTTGCCTTAATATTTAGACCTTAATATTTAGCAGATACAAGAATGTTGGGAAAAACGTTCAGATTAGCTTGAAGATAAGGACAAAATTCTCATTTGAATTGCTAAAGAAGAAAATCATGGACGAGGAATAATACCTTTACATAATCAAAACATTGTTGAAATGAATTTAAAAATAAATAAATAAAATCAATTCTAAATTCAACATATTTTATTTATAAGTATCTAGAATCTAAAGAAAAATAACATCATTTTTCCCACGATTCCATTATTTTTAAATTAATAATATTATCTACACTAAAAATAGCTGTACCATTATTCGATATGTTGCTTTATGTAAATTTATTTTATCTGTTCAATGAACAGTTCTTTTCATTAATCAAAATAAAAGCGAGATCAAAAGAAACAATAAATTTTTATTTAGAACTGAATTAACATTTTATGTATACTTTTGAACGGACGATAAAATTCATCCAATTAAATAGAGCTCTAGAGCATTTTCACCGAGTTTCATAATACAAGAGCACATCACATCTAAGGTCGTAGACAGTTTAAAATGAATTCGCTTTTAATTTATTTTTTAAATCTTAATAGAAGTCCTGATTTGATTTTAAATTAAATGAATTCAAATTCTTACTGCACTATGGTGGCAGTATAATCTTTTAAAATGTTTTGTTTGTATTTAGAATGTTAATATATAACAAAATATGAATTTTTAATTAATAGAGAAAAAAAATTAATTTTATAAATATCTAGGTAAATTTTCAGATAAATAAAATCAATATCAAAAAAAGAATCGTTTTCTGCAGTTTAACATAAAACAAAAAATGTACGTTAAGTGGACAATTCAGTAAGTTTAATACTAATTTTATCCTATGAAAAATAACGGAGTTACGTGAGTTCGGGACCTCTGTTAGGCTTATACTGTCACGGTTAAGCAAATCGTTTACTTAGAAGTACAAAGTATTTGAATTTATCTATAATACAACATGTATATATATATATATATATATATATATATATATATCACCAGCCGTGTGTCGAACCCGGAGCTGGGAGATCCTTCTAGGGCACATCGAACATCAATAAACTGAATACTCTTAATTAAGGAAGAAAACCTGGTTTTGTGAGCATGATCACTGCCCAATCACCTCCCTGCACAACCGTTGGCCTTGTAAAACTTTACTTACAAGGTTAGGCTACGGACGTAGGGTTACTGATTTCAATGAAACATTTTTTGGCGATATTAGGTAGAAAAAAGATCAATGTCCAAGGATTCGTGCCAATGCACCCTATCACAACAATTGTTTACTTTCCTGCCTATACTAGGTAAGGAAAATATTGTGACCGGGTCAAATTTCTGATATGCGGTTTTCGACGAATCTATACGTTTCAGAGTCCCTGAGCCCGAAAAACACATTTTTAGCCATTGGTCTGTCTGTCTGTGCCTAGATTTTGATGAAACATTCATATAATGTTCCAATAATAGTCCTTTCAATTTTTGTACATGAACTAAATTTCCGAGAAAATTCAGGAAAAAAAAAGTTATAAGGAAATGAAAAGTGTTTTGGGGCCTAACTCGCTAAGTTTATATACTATGGTAAAATTTATAATAAAACTTTTGAAAGGTAATTATATTACCAACTAATAAAAAAAAAAATCATCGGAATCGAACTAGTATTATCGATGATACAGCTTATTCTATTTTCTACACTTTTCTTTTCTTTTTTCTTAACCCCAGTTTTTTTATATATGGTTTCGTTTCTTACATATGTTTAAGATGTTCCTTGTGCTGTATCTTAGATACATTTTAAGGTCTTGCTCAGCCTCTCTTAGTTCTGTTTATTTTTATTTCTTGACTTTCAATCGGGGTGGTGGGGCTCACCTCTATCTTGATCATTATCTTAGGACTAACTTAAAATCTATCTTACATCTATATTTTGTGGAAATATTATCGTATTGAATTCTCTATTGGTTAAATAT